CTGTTGATAACGGTCAAACTTAAGCAATAAGTACAATTATTTAGAGAGATAAGATATCTGTACTGAAGTGTTCTCTGTTGGAATGTTCAACCAGATAACCTTTGCAAACTGAGAGTGTAATTCATTCACTGTATCAATACTGAGCTGCCAGAAATTTCATAATTCTGGTGTAATCCACTCGACTACAGATCTCATTTATTCATGTTTAAAACCATTGATAATTACAGATACAAAATTAACACCTACTTACATGGAGAATAATACAGGATTACCAAACCCAATGCTTTTCTCTTCAATTATTAAATCTGAATGCAACCTTAATAACAGCTGTAATAAGTGTTAGTACCATGTTATGGGTTATAAATATAGGTGCACAGTCAATACTTAGATTTTTGGACAAAACTTCACATGACTTAGTTGCCCATTTTTAAGTTAAGTTCACCGATCTACAGATTTCTATTTGACACCTGTTGAACAAACCAACTCACAAAGGCTCTCTTACATAAACACCAAGAACCAATAATGGTAATTTCTTGTTGCCATGAAAGAATGTGTAAAACCATCCAGATTGGACTTCAAGTAGACCTAATAACACAGCCTATTACAATATTACATAAGGGTCTGCGTAAAAGTGAATTGTTTTTGGAGATTCCAGAGAATTAGGTGCACGCATACCTCATTTCCAACTAAAGGTAGTCTATCTCCAGATCAGGTTGGAAATAAAAAACACGGGAACAGCGCTTTTAATACGCTGTGATTCCATCTTTCTTGACGCCTGGGCAGCGGAGGGGATTGTGCAAGTTCACTTGGCAGCCACTCCACAGAGAAAGGCCCACATCTGGAGAACATTACGGCTGCTGGAGACGTGAAGCCGGGGCTCGCTCGGTGCATGCACGGATTGTCCATAACATATCAAACTACGAGTCATTAACGCTGTTTTCCACGTCTCGACGGGTCACGGGCTGCAGGTTACCCACCGGAGCCTACGTTTTTATCTTAAACCACATGGAAAACTACAGATTTAGCATCCCAGTCTAGCTAACATTGAACGGGGAGTGCGAGTGACAACGAGAGCGGGCCTGTTGCTGCTGTATGTTATTTTTAAGACAACATATCGATTTAATTTGATAAAGCATGTATTAATAAAGCTATTGGCGTGGCTGTTTTGGGCTAAAATTGCTAAAAGATTGTCATAAACAGTGGGTAAAGCACGGGGAACGCAGAGAGGGGCTGTTTCGTGTGCCCCCCGTCTTGCGTAACGTGGATAGGTGCGCACAAACATGCAAAAAACGCGCAAATCAATGTGCAAAAAGCTGTTATAACGATGTAATTAAAACGATCACTAAGTTTACAGTGGCATTACAACATGGCACGGTCCTGGCTGGAGTGGTCACGGCTTGTTTCTGCGTTCCCACACCGCTGTATTCACTGGTGTCGACCCAAGGGGAGAAACTGGGAGTGCGGTCCTACCTGCAGTCTCTCCGACGCGGGCTGCCACATTTTCGCGGAGTAAAGAAGTTGACAGTGTTTTTCAGCGGCGTCTGGCGTGGTGCGTAGTCCGGCTCACATCTGGTGGCCTTCTCAGCTCGCCTCTCTGTCCTCCTCCTTCACTCTGGGCTGCTGGATCATGGGATGAAGGTGTTGCTCCGCCTGGCTGCGAGTGCCGCCATGGCCAGCAGGGGGAGCCCGCGCCGATGCTTCGCTCCCGCCATCACGGTGCGTTCAGGTGCATCATGGAAGCGGTGATAATATTTGAATTAATCGTGTTATTTTCTATTAAAGCTGCACAATGTAGCTTTCTGCTGTCACCTGCTTTACCTGAAATGTTCACAGTATGGGTTAGGGTTAGGGTTTTCAAAATAAAAAAAAAAAAAAAACTGGGACATCCCCGTTTTGTGATGGTTCATAATAATAAAATTGTGAAACGAGTAATTGCGTAATTAAGGAAAATTGTTCTGTACTCGGCACTAATGTGAGTCAGTGTAGTCACATTTTCTTTGTGTTTTGGTCATTTTTAAGCAGCTTTTCTGTATTTTACATAATGAAATGACAAGTTATGCCTCTCTTTACTGTTGGCAGGGATCAGATTTTTCAAAAAATAGAGACACCTGGGACATTTCTTGTTTAAAACTGGGACAAATCTGCTGGGACTGGGGGACACAAGGCTCAAAACTCGGACTGTCCCAGGTAAATAAGGACGTGTGGTTGTCCTACATTCAACAGCTCTACCTTACATTTATTTAGTTATAGGTTGTCAAAAATAACAGGTATTCTGACTATGAGCAGGGCTACCTCTCCACAGATCTGACCTGTAACTTGGTCTGGTTTGGACACCTTGAAGATAGAAAGTTTTAATACAATACTGTGAAACATTTCAGAGAAAGCACCAACAATGGAGAAAAGCATTTGATGGAGACTTCACCAGAAAAGTTACACAATGCACCTTTAAAATCACCTCCATTCCCGACTGTACCTGAAGAGTATAAAGAAATCTAGACTATTTTTTTCTACTTCTGTTATGATTATGATACCATTTGACAGTTGTATGAATGTGGTGTGATTGAGTGGTCAGAGAGGCTGTGGCAGCTGTGGCAGCTGTGGCTACAGCTACATTACTTGGTGTGGTGAGAGAATTTGACAAAAAATACAAGTAGCCAATTATATGAAGCATTTATTCTTCTGTTTTTCTTCTGCTTTTATTGCACTGAAATACATAGAAAAGCATATACTTGCAGGCTTGCATCTCCACTAACTTGACTCTTTTTTGGACAGGAACAATATCTTCTTGGAAATACTTCTTTGGCTGTACAATTCCACAGTGTGACAACATGCAGGCTATCTATCTCCACGAAGAATGTTCTCAAGTATGGTTTAATGTTTTATTTCCATGGGATCATGCAGGTGACATGCCACCTGCAGAAAGTTACGCTTTGTTGCTTTAAATATTGCATTTCTTACATGACAATTTAACTTTCTTACATGACTGTTTAGTCAGTTTAATAAAAGCACAAAGGTTTAATCATTTGGAATAAATGCAGAAAACAGAATAGAGACTGAGATGAACAGCAAAATCACCATTAGAATGCAATCTAAACTCAAGAGTTTCAAATTGATTTTCTGCCTGATTTTATGTCATAAGACCTCAAACCCCCCAACAGTAAATGAACTTAGCCTCCAGGGACTAAACAGGGCAAAGGTCAAGATTGAAGGGCTCCATCTCAGTCCAGCATCCACCAGAGCCATCAATAACAGGCTCCTCCTCCCACTGTGCCTGGACTTGTAATGTATGTAGGTGTGTGGAGCGACATGGCCGGGCTGTGGCGGGCTGTTTTTAGACATGTTTACATGGGGGAACATCTGGATAAAGCCTGAGGTCACAGAGGCTATTCACTTTACCACCAGCCCATAAATGGCCTTTCCCACGACTGACAGTTTAGTCTGGTGCTGTGACCTTGGGACGTGATGGAAAAACAGTCTTGGAATATGTTGAGGTTTGTCTGAGTTTGTTTACAGCTTCAAACAAGTCCAGTTGTTTATGTTGTCAGCCCGTTTTTGAGACCTACCGACGTGACACAAATGAAAATGTATAATAACAATTACTAAGACTTGCCACTAATGACATTTTCATAAAGAATAGCCAATAGGAGAATCCACAGATGTTATGATATCAGATAATGTTTTATACCATCTGAAATATAACATTTCTAATATAATAGAATAGTTTTCTGGAAAAAACTCAGCAAGTAATTGATTTTTACAGTGTTTGTTTTGCAAGTTGCTCTATTGTCTTGGATGTAAGCCAGAGTAGGCACCTGTTTGATTGAACTGGTAGAAAAAAAATTTAAAATTAAAGATAGTAGCTTTAAATGTACAGTATTTAACTTCCTGGAGGTGGTACCTGTATGAAGTGCATGGAAATAGAAAGTTAAAACCATACTTTTACATAATATTCTACATGAAGAAAGATGAGTTTTGTTATATACTGTGGACAGTTGTCGCAAAGTAACGCATCCTCCTTGCAACAACCAAAATGAAAAGAGAATATATAGTTTGTTTTTTGGCTAATATATATATATATATATATATATATATATATATATATATATATATATATATATATATATATATATATATATATATATATATATATATATATATATATATATTTAGAACTATAGGATAAAAATCCAGCTATTGTGACTTTCACAATACAGAAAATCCTTTTTTAACACCCAAATCATGAATAAGAGAAAACAGACACTATAAGCAGATAATTATTTTTGTCACTTCAGTTTTTATTGTTTACATCATTCAATAGAGAGAATAGATAAGCATGTGAATTCTGTATTAAAATGAGAGGGAAAACAAGGAGATTAGCTGGGCTTATTAAATCACAGCTTAACCTTGAGGAGAACAACACTGCGCACACTGAGAGTTTCCATTGACACAAAAGCACATAGAGTATACACTGGTGCGGTCAATGTTACTTCTTGTCTCTATTTCTCACAATTCCACTTCCAAGAGTATATTATTGGTATTATTAAGTGTATTGGCACATTGTAAGAACATCAAAACCACAGTTTTCCTCTGCCATTATTATTGATATAGAGCTATACAATCTGTTGGCCTACTCCACTTTCTTTTCTATTCATATACCATTGATAACTGTAACAAATTGGACAACATGTACTTTAAAATAAAGCTTAATCATGAAAAAATTACAAGTTGATATTCAGTTAACCACATATGGTCCAGAGAAATATGTAGTTTGGCACAATCTTAACTACTGCAATGTAAAATATTATCCAACATACAATACAACCAAAGTACAAATAGGATTTAAATAATGTGTAGAACAACAAATGTAACCATGCACAATGTAAGGCAACCTACTGCAGTTTCTGAATATTAGAAAATATACAGTACATTGTGTGCCTCATATGAGTGCACCTATGTCTACAACACTGTGTCTGCCAAATGTAGGCTAAAAACTGGTCTAAACTCCAGCCCATATGGACAGAGTGGCTTTACAGACTAAAGTCTTCTCTAAGTTACTGCTCATGTTGCCCGTTCATTATTGATGTTTCAAGACAAGTTTGCTTCTAATGCTACAAGACAGCCTTAAACAGGAAAATAGATGTATCAAATTCCAGATTTGATCTCTTCAAACTACAATCTACTACTTTTTTTTTTTTATTTCATTTTACATTCACGCAGTTTTGCTGTTATTTGTTTTTTTGTAAGAAATTCTATGCTTTATATACTAGATGTGTGTGTTTGGGTGTATGCAGCATGTAGTTAATTCTAAAAGTTGGCATGGTTGTTTGCTTACAAATCCTTTGTTTTAATGAGAGTAACCAAAGGCTTATCCTCAGGACAGTAGTCTTCATAAGCTATGGGGGTCGCGTCATACATGGCAGGCCGGGACTTCTTGCCAAATCTAAAAAAAAAAGTACATATTAGTACAGTTTTAACTACTCTTTTTTTTAAAATCTGTGGAGATCCAGAGGTATGTGTTTGGGAGGGGGTAGCACCACCTACCTCCTGGTTTGTGGGCAAATGCCTTACTTACTGCCACAAACTGAGACAATGGGATGGTGGTTTATACTTTGTTTTTCATACACAGAGGAGTCGTAGCACTGACCTGGCGTGGCGTATGGAGGCGATGGCATTGCTGAACTCGCTGTCGATGCTGCGACAGTTGTAAAACTCCTGGTAGGCATGGCGAGAGGAACCCTGGTACTCGATGCGGCTGATACGGCAGATGCCCACAATGAGGATGATGAGCATGAGGACGAAGGCCACACACAGAGCCCCGATGATGATGTACAGGGAGTGACGAGGCATGTTGGTCAGTGTGTCATCGGTGTGCGCCGGCTTCCACTGCAAATCTAATGAGACAGGGAGCCTTTCACAAATCTGCCAGAGAACATGAAGGAACAGATGCTCGCTGACAGGATGACTTACGGATCTCACAGCTGGGCCCCACCCACCCAGGCGGACAGTGGCAGGTGAAGCCGTTTGATTGGTCGATACAAGAGCCGCCATGGTGACAGGGGTTGCTCTCACACTCATTGATGTCGATCTCACACTTTTCGCCTGATTAGAGACAGGTTTAGTCTTGTGAAAAAGCATGTCCTTGAATTTGTAAAAGTAGTCATGCCAAACAAGTCCCAAATCTCAGTCCAGGTCAGGCAGGAATAGTCCATGTATACAGTCTAAAACTTACTCAGTGGAATTAACAGTACAGATCAAAGTAGTTTTCCTGTATTTTTTACACATTAACACTAGGGATTCAACAACAGACTTTTCTCATGGTTTGATCTCAGTATTTGATCACAATATTGGTGCAATTTTTATATGTTTTAGACCTCAAAAGAACAAAAACAAATCTTTCCTCTAGTATGTATGCTAGTTATCAATAAATGTAACATTTTATATCAAATTTAGACCTTTGGTGAGGCATTTTCTTCTTCTGTATCTGCAAAAGGATGGCACACTTAAAGGGCCTTTATTACGCTATTTTCTGATGTATGTTATAATATTTCCTCATCAAAAACAAACCTGGAATTGTGTTTTATTTCATTCATTGTTAAACACACACACCGGTATCAAAATGGAGTTCTTCTCTCAAACAGAAAACACTGTAATATGGCAAGTGCTCCACTGTGTTTTTGAACTCCATAAACCCTCACTAAATTAAGTTAAATGATTTTAGCCCTGGAATTGTCCCCTTTAAACAAAAAGTAAAAGGTACCTTGAAAACTACTGCTTCAAGGCAAGATGGAACAGAGCATTTTGAGTTTTGTAGATGTAGACATGCAGGATGCAGGATTGCTCAAACATGTGTGAACAAAACAAAACACAATTCCAGGTGATTTTTTGGTGCGGTAACAACATTCTAACTGGTGTAAAGCTCACAGCAGTCAATTTTGTGTAATATAGGATCTTTAACTATTTTCTTTTCTTGCCGAATGATGCTAGAGTACTAACAGTAGAGTAACTTACATGTATAGTATTTTGAGCATTGTTACATAGTTGACAACTCTGATGAAAAAAACATATTTGAAAAGACAATTTACTATGCATATGTAATACCAAGCATATATTATTTGATTATGTCATCAATATGCACTTTGAGTAGCGTCATGAGTTCTACTCCAAACCCCACTCACCATGGTATCCAGGAGCACAGACACAAGATGCATTGAGCCCTGTACTCTCACAGCGTCCGCCGTTCTGACAGCGCATCCTCAGACAGGGGTCTTTGTAGATCTCACAGTGTCTGCCTGCACAAAGCAATGCATAACACAATCTCATTAACCTGCTGCACTGAAAATAGAAGCAGTCACTGATGGCAGGCTCACCTTCAAACTGAGAGGTGCAGACACATTCATAAGCATTGATAAGGTCTCGGCAGGTGGCGTAGTTCTGGCAGGGGGCGGACAGACACTCGTTGTACTCCTCCTCACAGTACAAACCGTGGTAGCCTGGACACAAAGTTAATGTGCTAGTTTAGATGATGATTTTTTATAATTGCCAGTTGTTGCAATTAGGCACCCATGTTGTTGAAGAGGGTAATGTTGGGGGACACAACAACAGAAGGCACTTTGGTGATGTTTGAACCAGGAAACCTGTGATGGGTGGGTGAGCACTTAAATGGTCACATTTTTATGTAGCGCTTTTAAACCTTCAAGGCACTCAAAGTTCTTTTATACAACAAGGAACGACTCACCCATTCACACACATGCTCATACACCAGTGTTCGCAGACACTAGGGGCAAGGTGGGTTAAGTGTCTTGCTCAAGGACACAATGAATGCATTCATTTGTGTGAGCTGGAATCACACCACCAACCTGTGGGTCAGTGGACTTGACAGCTCAACCAATGATTTTTATGTTTAGAGCGGGGTTTGAACCAACCTTCGGATCAGTGGACAAATGCTCTTACCAACTGAGCTACAGCCACCCCCTTAACCCATTGCACTTAACCCACTGCACTTAACCCACTGCCCCACGGTACCAGTGCAGTTAATTTGGCAACTGAGAGAGTAACACATAGAGTGTGTTACTATAAAAATAAAAAGTAGCAGAGAATAAAATATTGGCAAAGAATCAAATTGAGTTTGACAAGCAACTGATTATTTTCATAACTGTAAAAAATTGTGTTTTAGTAGACCAGTACCTCCTGTTTCGCTTTCAAATGTCTCAGTTTGAAAAATATTGATCGTTATTAGTGTTGTCACAATACTAAAATTTCAAACTTAATTTCGATACTAAGGACTAGACTCGATACCCATGACCAATTCCAATTCCACAATGATAATAATAAAACACTGTTTCATTTTTGTCCAGGTAGATTCTACAGTGGACTATGGGCGTTTACTAGTCTAGTTATACTTGTTCTGATACAGCTCAAGATCATTCTAAAGCTGTTCAGGCAAAGTTCATTCTTTTCCAGTGATTGTGGCTTTTTTAGTGTTGATGCCTGCTCAATAAGTATCTACTTTCAACACTAGTTTTTTTACTGATTAGTATCTCATTTTCAATACTTTTGACAACCCTAATGGCTACTATTGATCACTCCTAGACAAATTAAATTACATAGACAATTACATAGACTAGTTTTAAATGTTTTCATGTATTTAGTGTTTTGGGGTTCTTTGAATAAACTGTTAAAAGTACAGGCACGTGCCATGTCTTTTGTTCATTTCAGAGGCATCTGAAGCAACCGACACACTTGTTTAGTGTTCAGTATTTAGATGTTACTCTGTCATGCCATCTTGCTGTTTTGCCTGCATAAGTATTCCCACACTGTCACTATGAATAGGCTGGATGTAATGCAGTGCTCTGTGTTTCCATAGGATGGCAGCTGTGTACTGATGCGCACAGACGCCTGTGTGCCTGGAAGAACAAAGTGCAGCCTAAACACCAGACAAGTAGAACATCTTCTGTTTCTTTCTGTTCAACAAAAAGAACTAGCATCAAAACGTGTGAGTAAACAACATGACCCAAATCCGTCATACACGATTTCGAGAGTGGATTTAGCCCTAGGAAAATGCTGATTTAGGATTGGCAGACATTTCAGGGCTGCTTTGATAACAGTATTTATGTTGTTGTGCTTGACCTTACATGGGTGCATTTATAGTTACAGACATGGCCTTGGGTGATTTTATAAGACTAGTTGTATAAAATTATGTGTTACTGACAACTACAGGATTCAACTTAGGAACAGTGGCTGATTTTGGACACTTTTGACAAGGAAGGGCTAAATTAGTAGTCAACAGTCAACCTTCAATGTAAGTTTATGCAGTCTGGAAGAGGATATAGGATTCTTGTATATAAAAGCAACCGGTACTATCATTTTTCTTGATATTTTAATCAAAATAAGATCCAGTCATTTTGACCGGCTTATTAATCAAGAAACTAAGCAGGGCTGGGACTGGTAAATACTTCGATCGGAGACAGCTGGGAGTTACCGCAGTGGAGCACTAGTGGCAAAAAACTGTTGCTGTGTCCTTAGGCAAGGCACTTCACCCACATTGTGTAGTATGAATGTGGTGTGTGAGTGTTGGTGGTGGTTGGAAAGGCTGATGAGTGAATGAATAATGCATGAAACTGTAAAGTGATTTTTAGTGTCTAGAAAAGCACTATATAAGACTAAAGCATTAATATTAGTAGTAAGAAATCTACAGCCAATTCTGTGGCAGTAAAAGCATGTGGTTTGAATTCAGACTTAGAAGGAAGATTTATGTATTCAGTTTTAATTTAATGACTCTGACTTAATGCAGTTCTCTACAAGGATGAAAATAAAGCGACCCTTTGAAACCGTGAACTGGTGATTGATAGAGATAAACCAGATGTTCTAGTATCTATTTGAGCTGTATTCAAATCTAACTTCTACCATAAGGAAACATAGATAGGATCAAATAGACGCTGTTTCACCCAAATTAATATATTTCATCAAGCCTGCAACATATTTCAGACCAACAAAATTACCTTTTTTTGTTACTGACCACCCAGCCTTTATCTCCAACTAAAAAAGCTAGTAATATAAGCAATTCAAATTAGGCAAAAAACACTTCTTAACCATCTGTCAAAAGCAAACCACAGAGCAGCAGAGACACTTGGCATGGTACCTGCTTTGCTTTTGAGAACATCACTTGGAAACACTCCATACAAACTTTGGCAGTGGAAAACTCTCTTCACAAACATGCTTTGCTTTGACTGTCTGACTATGACGATCTCTGGAGGCTTCTACAACTGGAGGTGCAATCTGCTCCCATCACTTCACACTTGGAGCCACTAAAGTTCCCAGTTGGATGCCAGCGTTGACAAACTTTCTACAAATCCCTCCTTGGGCGTGTTTGGGGAATAATTGAGGATCCCGGTTTGAGCTTCTGGGAGAAGCTCTGTGAAATGCCATCGAAATGTCAAGTGCCTTTTCCCCATAGACAGGCAATGGGGCTGGCAACCTCTCATGTACGTCGGATTACGGCCGGCTGGAGGACCAATCCTTCTCAGTATCACAAGAGCTTTGCAAGATGGCTACTGGGAGGGCTCCAAGTTACACAGTGGGCAACAGGAAACATAAGGTCAAACTCAGCCAATGCTCGTCCAATTACCGATGTTTTCACTTGGTTTACTTGGTCATTGTGGGTGAGAGGCTGAAGATGCAAGAGGTGTGCTTCCAGATGCTGCCATACATACACTGACTTGATAGACCTTGCCAAATTAATTAATCCTATTTACTCTCAGTGTTAAAAGGTATACTGCTCCAAATAGATCTGTCATGATAACGCATTTGGAACATTATAACACGGATCAGAAAATAGCATAATATGGGCCCTTTAAAATTATAAATTTAACAAATATGTGAGGCAATAGTTCTTTTTTGGACTGTACTTAGAGACTAAAAACATGCAATGGGCTGACAAACTTTAAAACACCCATGCTATGCTATTTTCTATCTATGTTATAATATTTCCTCATCAAAAACATACCTGAAGTTGTGTTTTGTTTCAGTGACAAACATTTAACTCACAAATCCTGTATATTTAGACTGTTCTTCTCTCAAACGTGAAATACTCTGTTCCACCTTTTGACGTCATCTGTTAATAGGGTTAGTTTGGGTTATTTTGTTTGAGGACCTGTTTACACAAGAACGCTTGCGGGTAAAAAACGACAAAATATTTTATTGGAAGTGCCTTTTGTTTAGACGGTGATGGCATTTTTGGGACTTAAAAACCTAAAAATCTGAAACCAACCTCCAGAGTGGAAAAGTTGAATATGCTCCACCGTAGTGTTTCCATCTACACTGCCCAAGACGCAAAAGTCTGGTCAGATCTGCTCACATCACGTACGCGTTTATGTCACATACATACAGTACACAGAAACAAACATGTTGGATGGCACGCATACCCAGTTGAATTCCACACACATTTGCATCACCGTATGCATGCAGATTTCCTCCCGAAAACGCTCAACTCAACATGGAATAAAAGGTGAACACGCAACATCACTTTTGCGTCTTCTGTTCAGACCGTCATCATATAAACATAGCCTTAGACTCCATACACCTTCACTAGAATCATTTGGATAATTTCAGCTATGGAACTGCCAATTTCTACTGAACAAAATGTAAAAGGTACCTGTGAACTTGAAAACTACTGTTTCATGACATGTCACGGTGGAAAAGAGCATTTTGAGCTTTAGAAATGTAAAGCAAACAGAGTAATAATAAAAGGTTACTCAAACATGTGTGAACAAAACACAACTCCAGGCATGTTTTTGAGGAGGTAACAACATTATAACATGGCTTAAAGCTCACAAGAGTCAATTTTGTGTCATATAGGAGCTTTAATCTTTGCTGGAAAACTGAGGAAGTATCACATGCACATCACATACCACCTCCACAGAACCTATGGGCATTTCTCCTAAGCATGTCTGCACTGATGGGATAGTGCAGACTCCCTCTCCTCCTCAGACGGACACTGCATTCTGATGAGCTGTCGAAAAGGTCAGGAGTTTGACCACAGAGCGGAGTGTGTGTGTGTGCTTGTGTGTGTGTGTGCGAGTGTGTGTATGTGTGCGTGTGGACCAGGCATCTTCATTTATTACGTCTGTGCTGCTAATTGCACATGTCCAATATTCGGCGGTCCCATTAGACAGGGCTGTCCGTGCAGAGTCATTGGATTGGAGGGGAGCATCTGCCCAAGCAGCAAAGTCACAGCAGAGAATTGATTAAAGCTACACACACACATATCGGGCAATTGGCAACCAGATCGCCATGGCAACCAGACAACACACAAGGAGAGAGGGAAATGAGGTGAGGTAAACGACGACGGGATGATGAAGATGCAGAAGGACAAAGGGACAGAGGCGGAAGAACATGAGATAAAAAGGTATATGGCCAGTGGTAAGCTAGAAGATAGAAGATGCTATGACTACTTTGTAATATTGGCTATTTCGAAATGACTTTATTATTTATGTAATGTTTTCTGGGCATTCATAGTCACTTTAATTTTGTGCCCTATTTATTTTCTTTTTGGAGCAGACTAACACTGGCTGCCAATCTCTGCCCGTGGTCTCTCATTCCTGTAACAGTTTGTAAGTAAAAGCAAAGCCGCATCTCTCTAAATAGTTAATGCAGTATTTTACATATTTGTCATATTTGAATTCGCTGCTCTGGTTCCCACACTGGGACAATATGTTCAGCAGCTGTGTCGTAGGCGTCCTCTCTGCACAGACTTTGTAACAGAGATTTCCAAAGTGATAAATTATGCTGATTTAAACTCGCACAGGGGTCAGAGCTATAGCTTAAATATTCACTGATGAGCACGTGGAATATAATGAGAGGAGATAAAACAGGCGCATAGAAATAGCAGAGCCACATCATGTTTATGGCCAACGAGGAGAGCCATCTATCCAGGTCTCCCGAAAGGTAATTGCAAAATAATACGTAAATGATAAGTCATCATTCTGCTCAATTGATTTCCTCACAGAGGCATCGGCATGCACAGCCCCATCCCCCAGTGCAACACACATCTTTTATGAACTATCAGTGCTCTGGGATGTGACACTGACAATTTGTCACTTGGCAACACTTAGAAATGCAGTGACTTTCTGAATGAAGTGTTATGCAGCAAAAAGAGTTCCTTTATAGACAGCTATAAGGAGTACCTTTGTTCTCACCAGGAGTAGACAATAGTTGGAGAAATTGTACATTTTAAAGATAGTTAAAGGTACTTCATTTCCATTTGTTCATTAAAAATAAACAGCTACTTCACGTTATTTTGGTTTGTAAACTCATATCTATCCTGTTTCTAGTGTTCATTCTCAGTTTCACTGCAGTTGCCTAAACCTCATCAAAAGCATTTTTGGGAAAAGTTTATTCTTGCAATATTTTGCAGTCACAACATTACAGCAGCTTACGACCTGATTTAAAACAGTGAAAGTGTTTGGTTGAAATCGGTAGTTTAAATAGTTATCCACAATTCTTCTAAATTGTTCCTGGCCTTACAATATTCTCTGTGTTGGTTATTGTTTTTTTCAAAGATTAACATTTTACACATTGCCTCCGTCTATTTTAGAATCATGTGCTTGATAGCACATGCACCCACTTTAATTCCAACTCAGTCAGACTCGTACCTGGGATGCAGAGGCAGCGATAGCTGTTGCCCACACTGCGACAGACCCCATGGGCACAGGGGTTGAGGGCGCAGAAGTCCACCAGCTGAGCACATGTGGGGCCTGTGAAGCCAGCGGGACAGCTGCAACCAAAACCCAGGGGCCCGGGGCCCTGGGGGTAACACGTTCCATTGTTGTGGCATGGACTGGAGGCACAGGGGTCCACCTTCTGCTCACATGTGGGGCCCTGGTACCCTGGACACAAAAGACAAACAAAGAGGAGAGCAGAAAAGTTCAGACGCTTTGCACAAGCAAGAAAAGGTTTTCCACCGGATTTACACTGACTGCAAGAGCGATCCGATTCAGGTTCGGTGCAGATTTACAGCGACTTGTATGCCCCACAGACTGAGGTCTCTGCTGCTGTGCAGCTGTGGTGGACTGCAGGCTGCGGAAACTGAGCTCCCAAGACAATGTGCTTGTGGGGATTCATGCTCTGGTTGGGAGTTCACATGATAGATTAGCATGTACAAGAAGCCTAGTTGGTAAACAACACATTTATGAAGTACCAGGAGTGCACAGGGATATTTTATTCCAAAAATACCCCGGATCAGTTTGTTCTGTGCATCTGATTTCCTGTTTTACTCATGTGAATTTGTAAGCTTGACGTCAGAGACCGCTGCTGTGTCCGGCAAAGATAGTCTTTCCACAGGCCCACACCCTACTTGCACCCACACCGAAGTCAGTGTGGCAAAGGTCAGAGGTCAGTGTGGCAGGGTGCAACAGATTTTAATGACTTTCTCCAGCTCCAGCAGGCTCCTACAGCTCCGCTCCCCTAGCAAATGATACAGGACTACATTCATACTATACTACTCCATACAACTCTACAACAACTCTCCCTTACTTTATGTCATCAATATTTTGCTCTTTGCCACTATTTTGTAATGTGTGAGCTATGGGTCTAAGTAATTTCCCTTGTGGATCAATAAACTTTGTCCAATTTTCAAGAGTACCATGCAGGCATTCGAATGAAGTTGTGTAATCAAAGGCTAAAAATGGCTCCTAGCTATTGGAAAAGACATGCTTTGTATTGCAGATTTGAACGTTGAACTGCTCAAGCACATCCTTGTTTAGGAAGTCATCACCTCAAGACATTAACTGGTTTTGAGTTTTTTGTGCGTTTACAGTAAGGAGATGGACTGCAGTACTGAAATCTCCACTCGATTATAAGGTTAAAATAGAGGTTAAAATAAGGTTAAAATATCATATGGTCTTTATGTGTTATTATTTAATAGTTTTCACGGTCACTATCAATGGCTGAGTCAATTAAATCATGCTAGGTTGATGTTTGTATATTTGGGTTGCTTTATAAATGTCTTCAGTCTGGCTTTGCATGTGAAAAAGCTTGTGACATAAATTTGGAAGATTTCTGTTAAACTAAGGGCCTTCAAAAGCATCTTCCACAAATAAACCAATTACTCTTGGTAGTAACACAAGAGGGATTTGGGCTAATGCTGATTTGTACAGCTTACGAACTCAGATGTGGTTTCAGGGTGAGTGACTTTCTAATCAATTTTCAAAGCAGAACGCGCTCGGTGATTGGCACAAGATGGGCTTTTTAACTGCCTGCCAGTCTCTTCACGGAGCATGGCTTTCGTCCGCACCTCTTCTCATTAGCTTGTGCACCTCAGCATCTCCAACCTCACCAAATCTAAAAATAGCTCCCATTTCCTTCCACTGTCTTCACTCCCTCCCCTGAGAATCTATTGTAAAAAGAAAAAAAAAAACTCTCCATATTCAGCGATCAGGCACACGGCGTACCTCTAGTGTGATGAATTGCGCGCAGGGTCGTGCTAACATCATTTACAGTAACGCCGCGCTAAATCCCACCGCTGACTGCACCCAAAGAGCGCAGTCCATTGGGCTAATGAAGAGATCTCTCACAAAGCATGCATTGATCGGGGGGACTTTATTTCACAGTGTAGGCAGAGCATTCATCATTCAGGTGCTCTCAGACGGGCCGTATCTGCAGTCGTCATGGGAAACGCTCTCACAAAGATCCAGAGACTTCGTACAATCCTCGAAGCTCAGCAGACACACGAGGTGGAGCATAAATTTGGATTTTGTAAGGGTTAACACAAAACACAGTGGTTCATTACAAGAAGGTCACTGGTTTGATTTCCTAAACAGGTGATGTATGGGTGCAAATAGTTCAGTACTCTTTCCAACACTGCAGTAGGCCTCTATTTATTTCATATTTGGTACATGAGGTTGCCAGTCACCAATCACATCCAAAAAAACAGCTATAGCCTTTGTGACTGGAGAAGTAACTTGCCCAGAGAAATAAAGACAATTTGTTAATTTAAGTAAGTAAGTAATTAAGTAAGTAAGTAAGTGAAGTAAGTAAGTAAGTAAGCCTTTATTTATATAGCACTTTTCACAGATACAGAATCACAAAGTGTTTTATGGTGCAATGAACAACATGTACAAGAACAGAGGAATTACACAGGCAACTAAAAGCTTGTCTAAAAAGCAGTGTCCTGAGCTGCTTTTTAAAAGAGTCAATAGAGCAGGGGTATTCAACTAAAATTTCAGGAGGTCCGGTTAGAGAGAATCTCCTCAAGCAGAGGTCCGGGACATCATAATATCTAACTTGCATTAAGATTGTGATACAGAAGTAGCCTCGTTTTATCAATGTCTGAATGTATGAACAATAGGCGAATCAACGAAAATACAAGTTAAAAACATTTCAACAAAATGTATTGATAACACTGTAACACACAGTGGGCCTACATGAGATATAGGGCTGCAGTTTAAAATTAATTAGAGAAAATAAATAAAATGGCTAAATTGTGCATCTTAAAACAAAGTGTTTAATTTCAGAAAAAAATAGCAGCTTGAGTTTCCATTTTTCTTTACCTTCACATCTCGACTTACCAATAACAGTCTCAATACATTTCTCAAAACCTATTTCCTCTGTCTGTGTTTGCATTCAGAGTTGTGTTCGCCTTGAATGCACAGATTTGATTGGCTAAGCTGCGTCACATTTGGTTTGTATATTCCTTGGTTAATACAGTGCTGTAAAGTTTTAAGTCTAAACTGAATAGGCCCTATTCAATTGATTCAACTTATAAAATGAACTGCATTTGGCCTGTAGAGTCTGGCTCACAGAGGGCTGGGACGGGCTTTCCATAATTTGGGGGCCACAGCCTGAAAGCACACGTCCCCCCATGTTTTAAATCGAGTCCTTGGGACCATTAAGAGTCCCTGCCCAGAGGACCAAAGGGTGCAGCCTGAGGAGTAGGGGCGCAGTAAGTCACTGATGTACTGGGGTGCCTGTCCACTTAAAGCTCTGTAAGTTAAAACCAAGATTTTAAAATCAACACAGAACTTAACAGGAAGCCAGTGCAGTGAAGATAAAATTGGTGTGATGTGTGTTCGCCTGTTAGCTCCTGTTAAAAACATTGCAGCTGTGTTTTGTACAAGTGTAGAAGCATTAAAACAAGTAAAAAGAGAATTACTAAAATCTAAACAAGATGAAATAAAAGAGTGAACAATCATTTCAAGATGAGCATTTGATAAAATTTAACCAACTATGAAAAAGGTTCCTTGACAAAAACTAACACCAATGCCACTGTCACCTTAAAAACCATAATAAATCTGGCTTATTATTTTGAATAGATATAACTATAGATAATGTAATTTGACTGTCGACAGACTGAAGACAGACAGTAATTTAAAACCACGGTATGTTTTATTTTTATTGTACTAAAATAAAAACATGTATCCTTACTCTGCGCAGACTTGCATCTCCACAAAGTCGACTCTTATTTGGCCAATTGGAAAGCGTGCTTGTTTCTGTGGAAATGTTCCTTTGGCTAGGCACAGTTTGGCATAAAATTTATCAATCTCCATGGAGAATGTTCTGCAGTATGGTTTTAACATTCTGGTTCAAAATAGGCCTTACTAAAAATATTTACCTCAGTCCAATTTCATCCAACAGATTTTGTCACTTTGAACATCTGCTTTGTTGTTTATGTTAAATAAAGACCATGGAATTCAGTGTACCAAGAACTAGTCTGCTCCAGTGCTTTTCTACCCCCAATTAAGCACACTAGTCATTTTCACTACAGCTTGCAAACAAAGCTTATGCGTTGTGTTATCTCGAGTAATTAAGCTCCCAAACTGTTTTGCATCATCTGCTGCAAAACACATTGAAATAGTTAGGACTTTGTTGTTTGCAAACAGCTCCAGCCAAAGCACATTTTAATACCGGACTTTCCTCTCAATAAGTTAATAAACTCAAGGCAATACTGGCTCTTAAACACTGGAAATACTGGAGAAGTGTGTGAGGAAGAGAAAATGGAGAGAAAGCACTCTGGATTTTAACATCATAATTGACCATAGTTTGTTTTAGAAAGGGTGTCAAAGTGGTGCTTATACTTCCATTCTGTACCATCAAAACATAAAACATTAATTAGAAACTTTCAGACAAAAAGCTTCTTAATAAAACAATCGCATTTCATCTCCTATTAAGATCAAGTAAATGCATTTGTGCTTCTATTTCATTCAGGTTGCTTTTAACTGTTGACTGCAATACAGCTTTACAGGGACCTTAAAGATGCATTGTGTAACTTTTCTGGTGGAGGGTCTGTCAAAAGTTTCCTTCATGGAGATGCTGCTTTGCTTTGTATTAAACTTTTCTATCTTCATGGAGACCAAACCAGACAAAGTTACAGGTCAGATCTGAGGTGTGTTTAAAAGTGCATTGTGAACGGAACTGTTGGTTGAAGTAATTTAATGAAAGTCTACTCAAAAACATCAGAAAAGAAAATTAGAACTACTAGAAACTAGAATTAGAATATTCTCTAAGACTCTTTTTATGCCACACTATAGAACATTATTGTTTCCCAAAGACTTTTTTTGGGGTCGCCTGATCTGCTTGTTGTACCCCGAACTGTAACGCACTACAAAAACACAGACAGGCCCATCTATCTCATTAGAAATATTTTATATAATTTCTAATCTTTTTGTAATTATTTTATTGACTATTTTGTTCCAATATTGCTGGTTCAATTGAATGTTGAAAAGAAAAGGAAATGGACTACATTTAATGTCCAAATAGGCAATTTATGGATTCTTTTATTGCTTGGTTCAATTACTGTTTTTCATTGTTTAAAAGTTGAGTAATACTAATTGTTCAGAGAGACACGATCACTCAGTCAACAATAAAATATCCTCATTAATGTTGAATAATGTTCAAATCCACCTTTATTTTGTGATTTATGAATACTGTCTATTGACTTGGGCCGTGAAGTTTTGTGACTTTTAAAATATGGGTCCCCAGAAAAAAAAGTTTGGGTAACACTGCCAGAGAATGAGGTTTTTCAGCTCAATAAAACTGCCAAATGAAGCCTAAATATTTTATTTGAGTCTATTTTTGGGCTAAAAGTTGCTTGGAGGGTTTGAATAAGTCTGAAGGTGAAATATGTTACAAAGACAAATGACATATCTCTTGGTTCATGAAGGGTTTATCACAAATCCGAGTGCAGTGGGCTCAGAGCAGATATTTCAGCCATGACAGCAGAAGAACATGTGACAGTAGACATCATTCTAGTCGTCGCCGTGGAAACTAAACATCTAAGACAAGTCTCTAGATGAGAGTGTGACAGTTTTCCATCAGTCAGAAGCAGAGGAGACTAAAGAGTGTTGTCTGAAGTGAAGTGTGGTCCTGAGGGAGACAGATCAACTCTACTGCTGTCTCATATCTCTGCACGGGAGCTTCAGGCTGTGGGAGGACTCATACAGACTGGATTAAGGACAAAAAAATAAAGTCTGTTTTAATGTAGTGGTGTGACAGAATTAACGTCAGCTTTAAATGTCTATTATATCAAGTATAAAGACTTTTAAAACTATTTCCCACTGTGAGTCAGTCTACAAGTGACAAAAACTTTATGTTGACAGTATGAAATGTGTTAAAAAAAAACATGAACCTTTGTGGTTCTCGCACCGCTCCTTCAGCTATAATGTCGCTTTTGAAATTTTTGTGTCAGTCCTTTGAAAATACCATACCAATATATGCATTATTGAATATTTTGTCCTTCTAATTTCACTAACTTTAAATTATAAATCAGGTGTTATGCCCCAACGATTAATCTTTAAGTTACTCTTACTTGAGTAGTAGTTTTTCCAAATACCTTTTTACTTTTACTTGAGTAATTTCTTAGATCACTATTTATTACTACTACTATTTATTTATTTATTTATTCATTCACTTATTTATGCATATTGACCAACAGTACAGGTGCATAATGTGTCTTTACTTCTACTTGACTAATACTTTTTGAAGTAACATTCCTCTTACTTGAGTAGTAATTTTCCTAAATACTCTTCATTTCATAGACCACTACTTTGTACTTCAACTTAAGTAATATTTTGAAGTAATGTTACATGATTTGAGTATTTTTTTTTTTTTTTGGTACTCTACCTGTCTCTGACAGTGAAAAACTCCAGGCAAAACAATATCTCCATTTAGGGCCTGTTTACACGAGAACGCTTGCAGGTAAAAATGGCAAAATATTTTACCGGAAGTGCCTTTCACTTAGATGGTGAAGGCATTTTGGGGGCTTTAAAATGCAAAAGTTTGAAACCTCCAGAGTGGAAAAGTTGAATACCCTCCGTTGTAGCGTTTCCGTCTACATTGCCCAAGACACAAAACTATGGTCAGATCTGCTCACGTCACATACACATTTTCGTCACATACAGTACACCGAAACAAACATGTCGGATCATTTCCATGCATCGGACCTTCAACCACCACCTAGCCGCCTGGCATGCATACCCAATTGACTTTCACACAGTTTTGCGTCACTGTATGCACGCAGACTTCCTCCAGAAAACGCTCATCTAAACACGGAACAAAAAGTGAGGACACGACACCACTTTTGCGTCTTTTGTTCAGACCATCATTATATAAACGTAGCCAGAGACAAGCAGAAATGTTACACCATGCACCATTAATTTGCCCTTTTAAAACACTTTTGCAGTTTGGAGCTTTTTATTTAGGAAACTACAGATGTTAACACACTTCTTGGTTATTTAATTAGCTGTTAACAACAAGACATCCTTGCACCCCAAAGTGTAACATTTCAACAATTAAAATGCTTTGGCTTCTATTCTCAGAGATATTTTTGCACCTCTACCGTACAAGTACAGTCAGGTGGTGGAGTGCATGTGAAACCTCCACACAGCACGATCTCAGCCCACTGTTTGGAACTGTGCCTGCAACAAAACAACTCAGAGCCGGCTTTATTTCCATCTGTTGTTTTTCTATTGTTGTCCTACACTGTACGCAGCCAGTGTACAATGCTATCTGCGTCTGTTTTTTGGAGGAAAACTGCGGTTGAAGATTTGTGGCCACATTTCCCTTGAGAGATGAATGCAGGTCGCTGTGGCTATGAGGACTAATTAGAAGAGAAGAGTGGAGGTTTAAATTAGCATCGCAGTGGCACAGATATGGTCCAACGCACACATTTGGAGAGCATGGTGAAAAATGTGTTTGGACCTGCTCCTTGTTGAGGACACATAGCCACATTATAAAGTATGGTTTGGTATGTATATGAGCATGTATAATAACTAAATATACAGATCTTGCAACCTAATGTGTTAGACTTGCCTAAGTGAAAATGAAAAGCACAATTGTGTAAATAGTTAGATATTCATAAACAGCAATTCTATGTGTTTTTGAATAATATGAAAGCACCGGTTCACTGAAGTAAAGAGTAGTCCCTGAATCCAATTTGAATCTTTATGTAACAAATAAGAGCAAAAATATACACTTCTATATGCTATGTACATGAATGTTCTGTACTAGTATATACCTTTCTGGTGAAACAATGCACTTTCTATAAAAGAAACATATTAAGCCATTTATTGATTTATGTTATAATGTTGTTTTCCCATCAAAAACATACCTAGAGTTGTGTTTTGTTTCATTCACACGTTTAACACGCAAACCCAACATGTTTAGGCTGTGTTCTTCTCTTTATATTTGTATTTATGTATTTGTTTTTGGCAAATGGAGATTTACATTCTTATACAGTGGAACATAACATAAGTGAAATCATAATAGAAATGAAATAACCACAACAAAAAATTTGCCCAAAAAGGAGTGAAGAAGAAGAAGACTTATTTAATCCCACCCCCACTCTTTTAATCTAACACAATGAGCTATCTTATCTTATTTTATCAATTTTTCAGACATTTTTGCATTAAACTATATGAACTATTTACAGCTGCAGATAAAGAGACACTATTATAACATAAACATACCAACAATGGTAAAATTAAGGTGGTAAGGTTCTCTTGAAGTCAAAATACTCTGTTCTACCTTGTGATGTCATGTGGTAATACAGGAAGTTCTCCGATGTGTTTTTAAACTCCATACACCTTCACTAGAATCATTTGGATGATTTCAGCCCTGAACAAAAGGTAAATTTTCGCTATTAACTTAGAAACTACCACTACGTGATGTCACAAGGTAGAACAGAGCGTTTTGATCTTAGGAGACGTAGACAGACTACTAATAAAGGTGTGAATGGAACAAAACACAACTCTGGGTATGTGTTTGAGGAGGTAATAACAATATAAAATGGCTTAAAACTCTGTTATATCACACCTATTAATTATGTAGCCTACCCTATCATGCTCACTACAAGCTTTTGGCATTTTGTGAAAATTGTCACCATAATCAAGTTTTTAAGAGATATTCCTACTATAATGTGTAATTGCCAATGTATATATTTTTGTAACTACTCATTTGGAACCAATCAGCTACACCAACCACTTCAACCACTTCAATATTGCACATGTTACAATATCAGATGTGTTACATAACTGCGAAGAAAAACTCACAATTTTACAAATATCTTTAAAGTACTTTCCTTCATTGTCACTGTCTGGTAATAGATCACCATTCCTGTAGTATATTACCAAATGAAACAACTGGCAAATTAATGTGACATAAACATTCAGATAAATGAGCACATTACATTTGGATTCACTTTTGCGGAGTATGGATTGAATTTAAAATCCCTAGTTTTTTTAGTTTTTTTAATAGCTTGTCTTGTTTTTTAGTTTACGATTATATTGTGACCTGAATTATCACAATTATGAATATGTAGACGACATCCCTAACCGTCTGGCCAGTGATTTTAGTTAAAGCTGCACACATATTCTCTTATTTGTTTTCAGTGTGTGTGAATTGCTCGCAGGACGTCTCAGCTTGATACGTTCTATTGTTGTGACTTGTGCTACATTATTCAGCGCATGTTTTACTGGCCACTTGAATATATCTCCCACACATTCCCTCTGCTGTTTCTGCTGTCTTAAAGCCCTGATTAACATTCACTGCCACCAACTCCGCTACTTCGCCCGTGAATTCCAAATGTCCCAACATCTTTACATCTGCTTTTATGTATTTGGCCATGAAATGCTAGCGGCAAGCTGTTTCCAAACATAATACCTGGCAGTGGTGCATTAAAATTCCACTACACGAGGTGGAAAAAAAAGACCATTTATTTTTGGCACTGGTAAATGTAGTGAGTTGATTCGCTGGTAATACCTTCGGGACAGTAGCACCTGGGCCCGGCCAAGCTGCTGAAACATGTGGCTCCGTTCTTGCAGGGCTGGGAGAGGCAGTGGTCCACCAAGAGCTGACAGCGCTCGCCTTCATAACCTGACAACACAAATGCAAAACATGAGCTAAAATTATAAGGGATAAATTCATTCATACAAATCAAAACAGCCTCTTGGAAAGTTGCTTGATGTTTTGAAGTATGCTATCCAAAAGAGACACAAATAGGCCGGTCTTCAGCCAACATTTTCCAATACCAATGTGTTTTCGAAAATGTTTTGGAAAATACCAATTTTACACCCTTTATTATTATTATTTTTTTAGTTCAAGGTCCCATATTACACAAAACTGACTCTTGTGATCTTTAAACCATGTTAGAATATTGTTGCTTCATCATGTTTGAGTCGGTCTGTATCGCTAAAGCTCAAAATGCTCTGTTCCACCTTGTGATGTCATGTAGTTTTCAAGTTAACAGCTACATTTTACCTTTAGTTCAGTATAGTTTGGCAATTTCAATGCTGAAAAAATCCAAATGATTCTAGTGAAGGTGCATGGAGTACTTCACGTATTATCACATGACATCACAAGGTGGAACAGAGTATTTTCGGTTTAAGAGAAGGACGATTTGTGCATTAAACACATGTGAATGCTTTTCAAGAGGAAACAACATTATAACATACATAAAAAAATTGTGTAATATGAGCTTTTTAAAGTTAACTTTACAAAATAATTCCCCACTGTTGTAAAAAATCATATGTTTAGTAGGGATGTAACAATAACTGAAATATCATGATATCGTATCATCAGAGTTCTCACAATAATATCGTGGACCATCACAATATATCGAATTACAGGTTTCTTTCCTTAAATGAACAGTTATGGTGCAGTAATAGCTAAAAAAAAAAAAAGACAGAAGGAACTACATAGACCATGATCCTTTGCTCCATTTCAGCGCAGACTACATGAAGAAATAACAGTTCTAAGCACTTTTAACTCTTAGTTCTTTGGATTAAGTCTTGTCATTTTAAGAGGAAAAAGAAGCATATTAACAGTTTTGTTAGCCTCCACAAAATATCGCAATAAATATGATATAATATAATTAATATATTAATATATATAATATATAATACCATGAGATGTATACTGTGAAAATATTGCGTAAATATTGTAAGAGATTTGGATTAGAGATTTGATCACAATTAGAAATATAACAACATCTCTAATCGTGAGCCTACCCACCATATCTTGAGCTTTCCCATGATATCACAAGAAATATGAGGTTCATACCGTGACGATATCGTATCGTGAGACTTGAATATCGTTACACCCCTAATGTTTAGCTTATTATTGGAGCCAAAAATCATCTGCATTTTCAATAATGGACTGGGTAAATCTGGATAAAAATGTGGCAAAATGTACTTGTGACTCTCAAGTCGAATTAGCATAAACACTAAACCAATATACCATAACTTTAACAGGAATTAAATAACTCATTTAAGCAACTTGGAACAGCTCTCTGATTAAAACTAAATTTAGCATTTTCACAATAAAACACAGACTTTTACAGATGAAAATGAACTTGTAGCCATTCCTGTTATGTGCAGGAGGTCTATAGTGCACTGTCACATAAAATAAATAAATAAAACTGAAGTCTGGAGGTGACCTTTCTATAGCAAAGAGACAGAATAGATTTGCATCCCATAGAGTAAAAGAAGGGGAAGAGGAGAATAATGGCATAGCAACACACATTGCCAAAAGACATTAGCGCAGATGTTATCATGCAGCTATATTTAGGCTACGAAGTATATTTATATCACTTCAAATCTGTTAAATGATGAAGTGAGAGAATTTTGTATTGTGTTTTACTTGATATATCGCTTTTTTGGCCTGTTTATTGAACTGGAAAGTACGTGTAAAATGTGGTAAAGAGCATGGGGAGACATAAATCAAATTATCTGAGCCAAGAATTGATCTAACGAAGCTGATGAAGGTTTTTGATGCATCACATATCACATTCAACATTTTCTACACTTTTTGCTGTCTTTTCTCTTTTTGTTTTATTATCATACTATTGTTTTATAGCCAGATTATTACCCTTTCCTCTTGCAATTCATAGTCGACATTTAGCTCTCCAAGGACCTGACCTCAAACAGCTTCCAAGAAACACGTCTTAAAATATCAAAGGTCCGACCCACTTTTGTTCTCAGCCCCAAACAGAACCACGCCACCGCTCTGATCTGCCTAATGAAGAACTCCACGGCCTCAGATATGTTAATTAGACTTCCACTCGAGACCTGCGCTGATCTATGATAGCATAAGTGTTGTTCTTGTTGACAGGGGAGCACACCTGGCTGGCAGGAGCAGGTGAAGTTGCGTCCCTGTGCCCCCTGCCTCACATCGGAGCAGGTGCCATTGTTGCGACAGGGTCTGTGGTGGCAGGCGTCAAACTCCTCGCAGAAGATCCCAGTGTAGCTGTCGTCACAATCACAGAAGAAAGTGCTCTGAGGAAAACAAACGGAAAGGAATAATTAGATGTATACAGCTATTTTTAGACAGCATTGTGTGCCGTGTATTGTTTGCATGAATGAAACTAAACACATTATTATATTATTATTTATTTATCATTATTATTATTATTTTAAAAAATAAATATATTTTTATGTTTTTGTTCGTACATTTGCTGTATATATGGTGCACTATTTACTGTATAATTATAAATCTCTTAATTGAAAACCAAATAAAAATTATTAAATTTAATTATTATTATTTTAGCCTAATTCCTCTTCTATTTCCATTTTTTGTCAAAATTATATTCAAAAAGACAAACTCGCAAAAATATTGGGCTATATTTTCAATAATAGACTGAACCCTCCAATGTCACTGACGATACTGGAACTAATATATTGTCCCATCCCTAGATAAAAATCAGTAAGCATAAATTGCAAATAGGATAATACTGGTAATTTTCTTGTCAGCTTTCAAGGGTCTCCACAACTTCATTTGTTGCTGTAATTTTTCTGTAAAATTGTCTCCAAACTTACAATAAATACTAGCAAACAGTGACTGACTACATTTAAAAGCACACCCTTATTCAATTATTATCTCATTTCTGGAAGTATCAGAATTTTGAAATTGCATGTAAACAACTAAATCTGATAAATCTCTTTGCTTTCCACTTGTCTAATGAACTTGTCCTCCAAAAACTATGCACATAATCACACACAACATTCATATCTAATGATTTTATTATCTGAATTACTTATATAATCTTTCTGCCTATGTATAATTTAGCCAGTACTTTTTCAACAAAGTTACTTAACATTGTATTTCTCGTCACTCTCTTTTAGTATTGTTCATTCTCTCAGGTGGCAACAAGTGGTGACAGGTGGTGACAGGTGTCTTGAGACAGACTGAGATTTTCTGCAACTTCCTCACAAATCACATAACTTCACATAACACCACATTTAAGCAAGAATGAAGGAGGTGATGTATCTTGTTCACAAACACAATGGAAGTTTGCATTGCCAATAGCAAAACCACAAAGTTTTGATTGGTTGAAGAACATCTCTTTTTTAAGGCAGGTAACTCTTTCTTAGTATTGCATTTTGTTTACTCCCTCAGGCTTCATTTTTAATCTGTACTATACAAGTAAACAGCACAACATTACTGCAGAAAAACTGATAAGCGACTTTGTAATTTGTCCGTACATAGTCATTTCGTATGCGCTCTCGCTACAGCTATAGAAAAGTTTCATAAGTTTCAACATTACATTGCATTTCATCATCTTGCGCTGCTATAATTATACCACTGTTTCACATTGTCTCTGCTTTTTCAGTGAGTTATGATGACGTAGAGAAAAAGTACCCAAAGTCTTAATTCCATATATTACTGCCAGCTATTCTTTATGTATGTGCTACCAAATAAAGTTTAGAGAGGATGGCATTTTATCTTCTGCTCTTACTTCAGAGGGCTGTGTGATACATCTCCCTTTCCCAGAACACTGTGGGTCACTGAAGCTGCTCCCAGGCTCCACACAGCTGCTGGCCTTCACTGTCAGGTTCAGACGCAGTGTGACCTCCGGGGCAGTGGGGGCGCCAACACGCAGCACACCTACAACAAGAAATTATAAAATGAATACATATGTTTAGAGTCTTTGTAGGGAAACGTGTCCTCTGCATTCGCTTCAGTTTTCTTCAAAGACACTGTGGCAACCTTGAACAGTGGGTAACATTGGGTGCCCAGCTCCACGTCTTAGAGGTGCATTTTTGGAGGCTACAGCACCTGTTTGTCTTCATGGAGATGTTATTTCACTGCCTGGAATGTCCCACAGTATGGCATTAAATTTGTCTACTCTGCATTCTTCAATCACAAGTATTTTTATTGCTCAAAACCATAGACTGTATAAAAGAAGCAGACTGAGTGAGTGCCACTCGAATGAGGCTCGCGATGCTAATGGTTACAGGAGCGAATCTGGAGCCAGGCTCTATGTTATGAATAGGGTTTTTTGATGGACAAAATAGTGAAAAGGATCATGTAGAGCAGGTTAATACAAACATTTTAAGACCAAAACGAGGTTCACTGCAGAAGTTACAGAGAGAGTGATGACAAGATACCAAGGTAAGTCCATTGGAGCCAGAGTCAGAAGGAGCTGGAAGAGCCTCCTGAAGCACTTCCTATTTGGCACACAGAGGCTAGCACGTTAGCTATGGCCACTCATATATACAGTCTATGCTCAAAACCCATGGAAAAACATGCATTCTCACTGTGAACAAATCACTAAATCAGATTTAACCAGGAAATTGGCTTGATGTTATTACCTGCTTGTTTATATGAAGACTGATTAATTTTATACTAAGGAACATTCCAGACAATGCAATAGCATTTCCCTGATGGTGTGCCATCCACCAGAAAAGTCTGATAGTACATCTTTAAGTCTGAAACGTGGTCAGGAATCAGCTAGAGCATTTGCATAGTGCTCATGCTTTAGTTTTGATTGGCAGGGCCTTAGTAGTAGACACAGAGGGAAGATGTATCTCCACACTGTTCAGCACAGATACTAATTGTAGATGCATTTGCACAGGCAAGGTGTGAAAGAATAGCCTTATCACAAACTTTAGCACAGCATCTACTTGACTTTGACAGTTTAAAGCCCGCATGTGTGTCATTGTGGTTTCCATTGGTGCTAAATTTGATGACCTCACTAGTAAAAAATCTCTTGCACTTGTTGTGATTCTTCACAAACAGCCTGAAGAAGTGATGTCCAACACTGCGTGCCTTTTCCTCCTTGGCCATCCCCACTGTATGTTCAATCAAATCTGACAGCAGATGCTAAAAATAGCCACAAGAGATCACTGACTTCCATTTTTAGGAGGACTATCTCAGCCAGTGAGCTTTGAGCTTTGAAATGACATAGACATTGCACGTTTTCACCAACCAATCAGAAGAAATCTTGTCATTGTACCTATACTAATGGAACTTTATTATACCAATGACGTCAAGAAATTTCACAGCTCCTTGGGAAGAACAAAATGCATCAAACGCAGATTTTTCTCACTCTACACAATATGACCTTCTGAGTGCCTTCTAATCCTTGGTCTTATACGATCAGGCTATTTCTCCATTATCCGACATGTGTCCGATTTCACTCCCCAATGTCAAACTGCCCCTCCACCACCCCCTCCCCTTATAAGAACCTCCGGTCTCTCTATTGGTCGACGCACGATTAGTCAGAAAGCCAAGGTGACCAGACAAGCAGCAGAGTGGAACAAGCATCAGGTATGTAAACCACATACAGGGTCAGAGTAGCCTTCAATCAAAACCAGAGTCTCCAATTACCCTTCTTAACACTCAATGCATTTATATGACGAAATACAGAAGAGTAAAATGGATAAGAGAGGTTACAAAGAAAAGCTATGATGAGTAAAGGGACAATATTGCAAAAACCAAGAAGCACATATAGAACAGACCAACCCTGAGGCTTTTGTCAGAACTCGCAGAGATGAGATGTTGTGCATTTTAGGTATTAAGTATTAAACTAACCTCAGCAGATCATTATTTCACATTTCTTTGTAAACTATAGTAGTGCTCTGAAAAGATCTTTATAATAGAAACAGATGATAAGACCCAACTCTTCATTGCAGGATTTCACTGTAGCAAACAACACATTCTGGTGTTTTTATTGTTGAAAAATGGCTATGTTACATTTTTAACCTTACGTGTATGTTCCAAAGTTTGGATTTTTGGAATGATCACAACTGACCTTTTCACAATGGCCAGAAGTGCTGCGATGTCTTCATGCAATAAGGTCGACAAACGACATATTCTGTCCATGAAGAATTTATCCTCAACTATCAAAAACGAAAAGGCTAACAATGACTAACATTAGTGAACTACTCCAGAGCAAAACTAATGTTATGGTCATGAATAAAACATAAGTAACTTGTTAACTCAGACTGATTCTACAATTAAAATTAAAAATGGATTTCATGATGTAGATATTGTGCAGTTTAAATGTAATCTGTGAATCTATACGAATTGCACAAATCTCTCTGTCTATGCTAATATCTTCATCATGAAATAGATTTTTTATTTTAATTCTAGAATTTAACAAGTATTAATTACTTATTACTTATGTGTTATTCATGACCACAACATTAGTTTTGCTCAGGAGTAGTTCACTAATGCTAGTCGTTGTTCGCCTTTATGTTTTCGTCTTTCTTACCTTGATAGTTGTGGATAAATTCTTCATGGACAGAATATGTCCTTTGTTGAACTTGTTGACTTATGTGCATGTTCACACCCAGCTTACTCAAACTGTAATTCTTTTGCATTGTCCATTTGAGGCCTGGGTAACCATTGCTCTGTAATAGACCTTTTTCACAATGACCGGAAGTGTCGCAATGTAGAGTAAACATCACTTACGTTAAAGCTTTTCTATGGCAAAATATCTGTGGAAATGTCTTGTGTATTTTCCAACAGCTTCATAAATCTGCCCCATCACCAAATCTTGATCCAACAAGGTCGACAAAGGACATATTCTGTCCATGAAGAATTTATCCACAACTATCAAGGTAAGAAAGACGAAAACTTAAAGACAAACAACGACTAGCATTAGCAAACTACTCCTGAGCAAAACTAATGTTATGGTCATGAATTAAATATAAATAATAAGTAATTAGTTAATAAGTAACTTGTTAACTCAGACTGATTCTAGAATTAAAATAAAAAATTGATTTCATGATATAGATATTAGCACAGACAAGAGAGATTTGGGCATTTGTGACTGCTACAGATGTTTACAGATCACATGTGTAGCATTTAAACTGGACAAATCTCTCTGTCTATGCTAATATCTACATCATGAAATTGATTTTTAATTTTAATTCTAGAATCAGTCTGAGTTAACAAGTTACTTATTTTTATAAGTTATTTATTTTTTATTCATGACAATAATGTTAGTTTTGCTCATGAGTAGTTACTTAATGTGTCGTCGTTGTTCACCTTTAAGTTTTCGTCTTTCTTACCTTGATAATTGTAGATAAATTCTTCATGGACAGAATATGTCCTTTGTCGCCCTTGTTGGATGAAGATTTGTTGATGGGGGAGATTTATGAAGCTGATGGAAAATACGCTGGACATTTCTAGAGATATTTTCCATAGAAAAGCATTAACATATGTGACATTCACCCAACATCACTGCACTTCTGGCCGTTGTGAAAAAGATCTATTACAGAGCAAAGGGTGGAGATAACAGTCATTTTCCGCGTACCCAGGACTCAAATGGACAATGCAAAACAATTACAACTTTGAGTAAGCTGGGTCTGAACATGCTCAGCTAGTAGTTCATCTTCTATAATAAACGACCTTTCTGACACTTCAAACTGAGAAACGGAAATGGAGAAGATAAAATATCAAAATACTTCTTTAACAACAACTGAACTCAAATGTGTATTTCGTAAAGCTCTTAGTAAGCAGCATTTTTCACACCTCACCAAATCCTGCGCTAAGACCTTCTCTAGATATTTCCTATTTTTCCAAATGCTAATACAATCTTTTGAGTCATATGCTAATGTGATCCCGCGCTCCCCGTAGACGAGTCAGGAACAAACGGTGTAAATAAACACAGTAAATACACTTGATTGAAATTCATTAATCCGCTGATGTTTTGGCTCACTTGTAAATGAGCTATTTGTGGCTATTTTTGTCTCCAATCATCTTTCTTTTTTAGAGGCGGGTTACGAGCTCAAAGCCAAACGAACTAATGACAAAAAGTGAGATAATTGGAAGCACTTAGTTTTTAATTGCTCTTATTTCAGGCTGGGAGAATGAATGGGTTTGGTAAATGAGGCAGACATGATAAATATCTTTTTCCCTAAGTATTTAAACCAAACTTTTTATCTCTGCCAAATTTTCATGATGAGTCAGCTTTGGAATTATTATTGATTTTTACTTGCAAACTTCAATAGACTTTCATTTTACACTTTAGTTAAAGGGAGAATATGTAACTTTTCTGACTGGAGGGCCTGCCACCTGCTTGTCTTCATGGAGATGTTATTGCTTTGCCTAGAATATTCCACAGTATTGCATTAAACCTATCTCCAAGGAGACGATTGGTTGATGCCGCTTGGTCATTTTACAGGTCAGATCTGTGAAGAGGCAACCAAGCTTAGTCAGAATGCATGTTTTTCTTTGTAATGTAATTGAATAAACGTAACAAAACTATGTTTAAAGTATTAAGTATTTAAATTCATGGCAAAGCAACAAGATCTCAATGGAGAATAGAAAATAGTGGACTATCCCTAGGAAAGGTTACATAGTGCATCTTTAAAAGTCCTATACTATGAAAAATTGACTCTTATAGGTTTAAACCATGTTATAATCATGGATCTATAATAAAAACTGGATAAAGCACTTCCCATCTTTCCCGTCTACAGACTGCTACAGCTCCTGGTACTGCAGCTCCCAGGAGCTTGGCCCCAGAAAGCACAGGCCATTGAAAACAAGACAGTGCCATCTTGGATTCATCTTCCAGATTTGATTATAGTTCTATGGTTATAATCTTGTTGGCTCCTCAAAAACATAGCAAGAATTGTGTTTTGTTTCATTCACACATATTTGAGTAACTCTTTATTATTAGTCTGTCTACATCTCCAGAGCTCAAAATTATCTGTTTCACCTGGTGATGTCATGAAACAACAGTTATCAAGTTAACAACTGCTTTTTACTTTTTGCTGGTGAAATTATCCTAATGATTCTAGTGAAGGTGTATGGAGTTTAAAAACATAGTGGAGCACTTCCTGTATTACCACATGACATCACAAGGTGGGACAGAGTGTTTTCCATTTGAGAAAAGAACTCATATGTACAGGGTTTGTGTATTAAACATGTCACTGAAACAAAACACAACTCCAGGTATGTTTGTGATGAGGAAATAACATTAAAACACAGATTATAAAATAGTGTAATATGGGCTATTTAAGGTTAAAAATGAATAATGTGTCCATAGATTTTAAATTTGACAAATTGTACTACATTTTCACATCTGTACACCGCAGTAGTCCTTCATATATTTTGGGTGTTGGAGATTAGTTAGGTTGTATTGGTCATTAAGTCTCTGGGTGGCAACAGGAAGGGCATCTGGCATAAAAATCAGGCAAATTGCCATGCAACTTTTAATTGCAGTGACATAATTTCAAACGTCTGGTGAACCCGCCCCTCCATTACCATTTTATGTGAATAATTTAGCTCTCTGCATGTGAAAGTCTTGCGTGTATCTTACTGAGGAAGTAGTTCTGTCCCAGTGGCAGCAGGTGGTCGGGCAGCACCAGTCCGTCTTCCGCCTGCAAGAAGGTCAGGGTGGTGCCATTCAAGATGGAGGAGCGGAGAAAGCCCTCTTCACTAACACGCCACAGCTCCGGAGCTCCACTCGCACCTACCAGCACCCTGCACAGAGGAGACAGCACCTTATGAGCTCATCCAACAACCGGTCAATTCAAGTGCCTATGACAGGTTGGACTACTCATTTTACTAAAACACAGTTAAGATCATTATGTTTAAGATTTTTGCTAAACATTTTCCTAGTTTAATATTTTACTTCATCTAGTGGATCACAAGAGACTTTTTTTGGGGTCTCTTTGTCACGATCTGCATGTACTGTAGTTCTGCAAAATACATTTGTTCTGTGACCTTATTGTCATTCTGGATAAGCATTTTGTCAGGATATCCTCAGTAGCATTTTGCTATTTCTATGCTTATTCCTTTTCACTACTACATATATGTGTGAATTGGGATTTTCTGTGCTCACAAAAATTAAGACAAAGCACAGAGACGGACTGAATGCTGCACCTGATTTGCTGTTGCATTCTCCTCCTGCACCCCGGGCTGGACCGCCCTACAAAAACACAGACAGGCCCACCTATCTCATTAGAAATGTTTTGTGTAACGTCTAATCTTTTTGTAATTATTTTATTGACTATTTTGTTCCAATATTGCTGGTTCAGTTGAATATTGAAAAGAAAAAGAAATGGGCTGCATTTAATGTCCAAATAGGCGACTTATGGATCCTTGTACTGCTGCTTCAATGTTTTTCATTGTTTAAAACTTGAGTGAAACTAATTGTTCAGAGAAACACGATCACTCAGTCAACAGTAAAATATCCTCATTAACGTTCAATCCATCTTTATTTTGTGATTTACTTGGGACTTGGGTCGCAAAGGTTTGTGACTTTTAAAATATGGGTCTGTGGGGAAGCGCCCTCTTTGTCACAGGGTCAAAAAAAACGTTTGGGAAACACTGATCTAAAGTACAAAGAAATCTGACAAATGCAAATTTAAGAACAAATATAAGCACCTTTATTTTGTTGAAATCATGTTTAAAGTATCAGAAAAAATGTGTTTCTTGCATATAAATTGTGTCAAACTTTTGTACAGAATTCTCCCTGGTGTATTTGAAGGCTCTACTTACAGTAATTTCCAACATATTTTTCATGTTATCTTGGCAAATCTCATTTTATATTTACAACAGATATTATCCCACCAACTTCAGTCAAAATTACAGAATTGTACGCATTTAAACATGACAGGAACTATAACTACAACAATAACTACTACTTGCACAAATATTTCTACTTTTAATCTGCATAACTCCAGATATTTCATTTACAGTAAGAAGTACAGTATGCTACTTCAGACTAGTGTTGTCATGGGACTAAAATCTAACACCCTGCAGAGAGGAGACAGCACCCTATGCGCTCAACCAACAAGTGCTCAATTAACATGACAGAGGAATGGACACTAAAAGGACTTTACAGAGATAATATGATTTGGTTTGTTTAATAGCTGTAAAAGTTCTTCAGGCTTGTAATCTGTTTTATCAAAGTCATCTGACATGTTTAAAAGTGCATGAAGCCACTCAACGTTCTCATTACAAACTATTAGCAAATGAGTAGCAGAGTGAAAGTGTTCTAAAGATGTTTTATAATAAATAGCCTGTCATAACATTTGCAACCTATAGTGGTTCATCTCTGCCAGCTGCTCTGGTTGGACAGCAGGGTAAGTGAGACATTTAAAACGTCTAAATTGCACATTCTTGGATTTACTACATTCACTTTAAAGGTTCACTGAGTAACGAGGTGGAGGGCCCGTCGAAAGCATTCCTCCATGGTCATGTTATGGCTTTGTCTGGAATGTTTCACAGTATGGCATTAAACCTTTCTATCTTCATAGAGATCAAAGCCACAGCCTGATTCATCAGCCGGTTTCACATAGAAACCATCTGACCTCACAGCATTAGGATTCGTTTAGTCAGCGGTAGGCGGGTACTTTTTTTCATTTAACCAATCGCTGCTATTTGGTCATGACATATGTAATGCGTCTCTAACGGGGCTAACTGATTAAGCTTTTCCTAAATCCTGTAGGAAGAAGTGCAATAACGTCTTTCGCCTTGATAAAATTCACCGAACATTCTCTTTGTTCCGGCTTTAAAGCCTCAATCTCGGAAATCGTTGGCCAACACTGAATATATGGCTCTTCGCTGATTGGCTGGTGCCTGGACTCACACTTCCAAGGTTCTTGCAAACTGTTTAGTGTATTCTAATTCCTGACCTAGTTGCTGGAGAGAAATTAAATTGCATGGAGGCATTAGGTGGCACCAGCCTGGCTAATCAAGCCAGGCCCGGTTACAGGTCTGATCTGTGGAGAGGCAACCCCACTCATAGTCAGAAGGTCTGTTTTTTTTAGCTATTTTTTGAGCTTTAAAACCATCTGTAACTTATTAAATGTAAGGTAGAGCTGTTTAATGTTATACCGTGGAACATTCCAGAACAGTGACATATCCATAAAAACAAGCATTTGATAGACCCCTAACAAAAAAAGGGACAAAGTTCACCCTTAAATACAACTTAGATCTTAGAATATTTTATGTTTTGAGAAAATCTTGACATGTAGTAATATGCAGTATGCAAATGATGGATATGCCACTATCTGAAGTTTAATGAAGAACTAAATGAAGTTTGGTTGAAAACAATCTCTGCTAATGCTACACTTCCTATTCTGATAAATGGATGCAATTTAAGCACAGAAATGATCAGAACAAGTTTGGTGAAGATTTCTGGACTATAAAAGATGAAGGAGCTTCTTGCAGAATTCATCAAGATGCTCTTGAGAGGCGAATGGAACAAACATGCAGGATTGCTAAAGTGCATTTAATGAAAAAACACAAAGCTAGGTAAGGTTTTTATATGAATACCAAATAGCAATCATCTCAAAAAATATACATGTTTTTTTGCATAATGGAATAATTTTAAGTAGACAATAATAAAGAGAGAGAACAGTTTATTTATGGCTTTTGAAATGTACTATAGGTTTGCTATTCAGTATTCACCTTATTCCAGAAGTTGCCCTGGGCGCAGCTGTCGTCGGGCTCATAGACTGTATAAAGAAGTGGACTAATTGAGTGCGAAGTCACCCACAGCTTTCAGCTCCAGTCAAATGAAGCTCACAAGGCTAATAGTTATAGGAACGAATTTGGAGTTGCACATTAAGAATATGAATTTATTTACACACAAAACAGCTAAATAAAAACCAGGATCACGAAGAGCAGGTCAGTACAAACATTTTAAGACCAAAATAACAAGGCTCACTGCAGCAGTTACAGAGAAAGGAGACCATTTTTCAGCGTAAAGTGAATTGGAGTCAGTGGAGTCAGAAGTGCCCCCATGAACGCTAGCAGGTTAGTTATGTCCATTTATATACACAGTCTATATCAGGGGTGTCTAATTCAAATTCACAGAGGGCCAAAATTAAAAACTGGGACTAAGTCGTGGGCCAAACTAAATATTTATTGACAATTTTCAGCAACATCTGCATGTTTTCTATTCTTTCGAGATATGTAATGTTAAACCTTTTCTTATTAAAATAACTAGTTAATCATAATTTTGCTTAAACATTGAATCCAGAACAAGCATAATATAAAATAATAATAACATTTTAAATAAATAATGTCTCTATAGCCTATCTGTACCGGGCTGGCCAGCTCTAATACATATTTGATATGAACTTGTGGGCCAAATACAATTATATTGTGGGCCAAATTTGGCCCCTGGGCCTGAGTTTGGCATGTCTGGTCTATTCATTCAGGTTGTATTATTTTGCATGGGGCTGCTGATCTTGATGGCAAATAAGTTTTATGCAGATTGCGAAGTCATTTTAAACTACTATTTCATATCATATTTTAGCGCTGAAACTTTTTTTCAAATTGTCCATTGGAATGAAATGGATTCCCACTAAACCCAAAGTGCCACCACAAAGAAAGCACGGTTTAGAGGTTAAATTGGGCAGGACAGAATGAGGTCAATATGGATCATCACTATGTACTTTGAAAGCAGATAGACAGACAGAATTCACTTGTAAAAACTTGTATTCTAGCAGTGTAATCTTTTAATATTGACTCTATAATTAGGAAAATCAATGCACATTTCTGAATTGGCATACATAGTCATAGGTTTCCCTTTAATCTAAAATTAAATGTGATTAAGCTGTCAGGATTATTGGCTCTTTGTTTGTTCCATTGTAAAGCATCCAATATTTATTTAAACAGCTCATTTTGCACATAAATGATGGATCCACTGACTAAGCCAAGCTGCCAGCGTGGCTCCAAGGATAACAGCTATCAAGAGGAAATCATTGGGTCCAAAATGGCCGCAAGGTGTTTGGCTGCTGATGCCAGACGTTTCATGTTCTCACCCCGGGGCCAAAATGAGGGGCCAAATCCCACCGAGGGGCCCCAGTGTGGCGCGCGATCATGCTGCATAAGAGCATATTTAGGACTCAAGTATAAGCAGTTTATAATTAAAGCAAATGCCTCCAATGTTACCAAATAATCAGGGTTGGTTTAATAAAAAGCAGAGGTATGAAAACTACGACTAAGTACCTCTTCCACTACTACTATACTACTACTTCTTGTACAAAATCATCAATACAATACAATAGAAACAGAAAATAATGGCACCATTTACTAACAAAACTAGAACTACTGCTTTTGCTGACTCTACAGTGATAACTACTACTACTACAACTGTTTCTACTTTTAATTTTCATAACTCCAAACATTTCTTTTACAATAAAAAGTAGGAATAATGGATACTAGCAAATCAGTTGCAGAATGCTACTTCAGACTGTTATGGAACAAAAAATTCTCAAAATTCAATAATAAGAAATAATCTAAACATAATCTAAATTAGTTGGAACAATCTATAAAAAAGCACTTAAGGTATTACACAAAAAACCCACAAATTTTCAGTACTGCAGAATACTTGACAAATACACATTTCTAAATTGGGGCAACACAATCAAACATTCAGATTTAATTTTGGTATACAAAGTTTTTTATACTCTTTCTCCACCTCCTCTAAAGAAATTCAAATTGCAAAAGAGCAGCTCTAGAGG